TACCACAGGCCTTGAGCCTTTCCGTATTTTGCCCCTTCCTATAACGACTGTCTTTTTTTTTTACCTGGGGTTAAGAAAAAAGTAAGGGGAAAATATTTTGCGGTTTTTCTCTGGAGAGAGGGAGAGGTTGTATCTGTTTATTGGGATTTGGGGGTCTACCAGGGGGTAGGAGAGAAAAAGGGAAAAGAAAACGGGATGGGAGGATGTTTTTTTTCTCGCTGCACGAGCCAAACTAGCGGTTTTTATGGTGGCCAAGCCTTTTTACGAGGGGATTCTGTTGAAGGTCTTGGCCTTTGCTGTAAGTCTCTCGTGGAGACGGGGATTCTGGAGATATTCGCCAACAAAACGAAACGAATATTCAATTCTTTCATCACTTTTACGGAATAATTCAATCAATTATAGTGAATTATAGTGTATTCGGTGTGAATTCTGTCATAAAATAATCCCCTGGGTTGTCCTTGATAGTTTCCAAATATTTCTGTCAAAAATCAAACCTGCAAGATATATATGACTCCTGCCATTGAATTTTCAGGGGCATTGTCTAGAAAATTTGTTGAAAGGGAGGTGCACTGGGGGGCGATATCGAGTGGTCTGGCCGATTCGCATTTGGTCATCCTCGTAAAGGGTATGACCGAAGCGAACACCATAATCCATCAGATTTACAACCCAACCATTTGCATACATCTCACGCAGGGGCCCAAGAGCCCTCCAGTACTCAAGGCCTACGAAGTTTTATGAGTTAACCCTAATTGAAGAGGTAAATCCAAGTGTATTCCAACCCCATGAGGCAGGGATTTCGGTCCCTTACCAAGTTTTGCCAACACTAACCAAAAGTCATTTCAACCTCTTCAAATCCTATTTAAATATTCTTCAGCTATCACTATTCTAGATTTTTACTAACAATTTTCTCCATAACTCGTTCCTGAATTTCTGATTCTGTATTTGACTGTCTAAATTTTATTTCCGAGTCCTATCCAAAGGTTTTGCGGCTTCAATTTGTGATTTTGAGGAGTTTCCATAAATTATGGATTGGTATTTGATGAGTGGAGTGGAAGGATCAGGGGAAATTAATATGTGAACTTTTGAAAAATTTCGATAATTGCACATAATGAAGGCGGTGGGTGGCACGTGGCAAGACCCCAACTTTCTGGGAAGTTCTAAATTTCCAAGCACCTCAATCCTTTCATGAAACTCAAGCCCCATGGGTCCGTCACCATAATTGTTCTGGTTTTGGGATTACCCCTTTTGGGCAGAAGGCGTATCACTGTCCCCACAACCAGCAGTTTCTCCATTCATTGCAGAGCCTCGCAAATCCCTGTCTACAATTTTCTGTTGACACAAACAGGAGCGACAGTTGATAATTCTTTCTACCCATCAATTCCAGGAATTCAATTCAAATTCAACAATTTGTGATGTCATCTTAGATAAGTATTTCACGTCAACAACGTAATTTTTCATTTTTAATTTTCCTCATGCACGTGCAGGCAAAGAAGTCTTCTCCTTGGAGCCCCTGAAGGCCCGAGGGATGAAACAACCCTTTATATTCGTCACAAAGCAGCAATGACGGCCAATTAGGCAGATCCCTATTTTTTTTTTACCCCCCCAAACCCTTTTTTCTCGTCAGCTTCGGTTGAAAGTCGGGAAAAAAAATTCCGATTTTTTTCACACTTGGATTTTATGATGTCAACTACCTCTTTATTTTTTGTCCACGTGCTTGAAGGAACGGGGGAAAACCGGGATGACATTTTTCGGCTGAAATGTTTACGAGGATGTCACTTTTTTTCGATAACACGCTACTGTTCAGCATGAACGATGGATATGCGAGCGAGGGTGGGTGGCTTCTCGAAAAAAAAAGGGTAAAAAGTGGAGAAAATAGAGGGACATAAAATACAGTCCCCTGAAAAAAGGTAAAAACATGCAGCAAAGTGTCTCTTTGAGCATAAAAAATTGGTCATATATTCGTTACCCTTTTTTTGTGGACAAAAAAAAATAGTCTAAAAAATGGTTGAAACGCATGAGATCCCGTGAATAATTTTTTTCAAGGGTCCAAAGAAGCGAAAAACCCCCATATCGCCTTGTAAATTCCTTGATTCGTGAAATGTGAAATATGGGAGTAATAAAGAGTAGGAAAATCGGAGGAAAATTGAAACAAAGTGGAAGAGCCTTAACAGCGGGCTGGCCTATCTCCAGCGAGTTTTGTAATTGTCTAATGAATAATCCCATTCAATTCTTAAGGACACTCGTGGTGAAATGAATTATCCTATTTAAATCCATTGAACCCTGATGAATTTTTTCCCATAAATCACTTCAGCTCATAACTCATAGTTTATTTTATCATCAGAATAAAACCTCACCATAAGGAAACCAACGTGAGAATCCAATCTCCCCAGCGAATGCCACACGCAGTGACGCATTAAATTAATGCATTTTAACCACAGGCCATAGTCTCGAGTAAAGACCCGCGGTCTCGCCTTTATCCTCAGCAGCAGCAATGCACCTCGAAATGCACTTGTACCCATAAAGCTAATGAATCAAATGCCCTAAACCCCCCGACAACAGGTGGCAACGCATTCATACGCCCTTGTGAAGCTGTTGGATTTGATAATACCCCATTGGTAAATGAGGCGAAAGCCCGTATTACCCTCGCACCCGTCAAACGTATCAAACGTTCATTGCGTGACGGCATTATGTGCAACGAATGTACCTCAGCGTGTGCTCGTCCAACTGTGAAAATTTATTACGACTTAATTTTGCATCCACTCACCGCATTTCGCGCTCGACTATCCAACTAGTACCTTGTATTAAAATTTTCTAAATCATTTACATTGGATTCTTAAACCAACTATACCCGACCACGAATTGCCAGCGGTGTATATCGTGATGAGCGTGCGAAACCGGAAGTCTTGCTCTTTTAATTCACTCAACGAACGCACAGTAGTATCAGTCGAGTTAAACGACCATTCAGTGTAATTGCGCCCAGGAGAAATTGGCGTGATGCTGGTATTATGTGGATCAATCATTACGTGATCATTGAGTAAAGGGCTTTTCCACAGGTAGAGTCGTTACGATTCGAGGTTTTTCGGGGGTAGTTTAACTCTGATGCATCCGATGCAGTCATCTCATCCGACCGTGGGTCCATGGATACCTCGACGGAGCCCACACTTCCGCAAACTCCCGGCAGGTGGTGCCAGTTACGCGTTACAGCTAAAATTTATTGATAGAGGCTCCGAATTTTTTTAAACCAAGATTTTCAGGTAATTACTTGATCATGAAGTCTCTTGTCGTATCTCAGCACTTATGGAATTATATTGACGATTCCTAAGACTCGATCAATAACGGCTCGCCCCTGATATAGATCAAATTTTGAGACTTAAAAGATTCTTCTACTGATTAATTCCGTCACGCCCAGTGGATTAGCGCAATGGGTAAATTCGTTGCCTCATATGCGACAGGTTTTGAGTTCCAGTCCCGGTTGGATAGAATTTTGAGATCTAATCATTTTAAAATCCTGATCAATCGTTATACCCTGACTGGGTGGAGACGAGATAAAATAATCCTAGACAAATTGATTTGCTCAAGATTAAAAATATTGAGCTCGAAGGAAGATTGAGCGATTAAACTGTTCACTGCATAGAGTATTGGTGTATTTCGGGTCGAGGGTGAATTCGCTCGACCAGCTATTAATCGATTGAACAAGTTGATGAATAAGTCCAGTTGCTATCGAGTCACCATCAATCGATCTGCCAGCACAGAAAACAACTGATGTCTGTAGAAATAGAATGAAAAAAAAAGAGAAAACTCTAGAAGAAGAACTTGAAATTGACGGATTTTTTCCCCTTCCCCGGGTTACGAGCGGATCGCGCCCGGCACGCTCACACAGTACAGTTGTATTTTTCATGGTGGGGGGATACAGTTGTATCGACCAATGAGCGTGCGTCTGTCGCGCGCCGCGTCGAATCCCACCACTTGGATTGGCGGCGTGACTTTACCCTCTCTTTCACACTCCTTATCGCCCCAATCGAATGGTCTCTCTCGCACTGAGAAGATGCCTCAGCGCTTTGTGCCGTCTCTTTTTATGGATAAACCTCTTCTGTGTGTATTCCTTCTCCTCTCCCAATACAACTCTGGATTATCCCTTCCCCACCCATTTTTTCCACCCAGACGAGAAAGAGATCTCTGAAAAGGAGAGGAAAAAAATGGGAAAATCTATGTCTAATAAATTCTCGTTCTTATTCTAGTTTTTCTCTCTTCCCCTTTTCTCGTTTTTTTTTGTCCGATTTTTTTTTCACTGTAGCGTAGGCGAGACAGGAAACACAACGACGCGTGCCAACAAACCTCCGCGTCACCACACCCCCGAGCATCCTCAAGTTATTTCCGCGCGCGATAGGAGTGAAAAAAAAAATCACTGCTGATATAAGTCTATTATGTCTGCACCTTCAACTCCCGCAAACGTGTCCCTGGGATGTCACGAGGGTGTTAGGAGTCGTTGGGCCTCAAGGCCCACTCTACTCTCTCGCCCGTCCCATTGCAGACTTCTCGTAATAGACAAAATCTTGTAGTGACCATGAGGAATGGAACGGAACCACATACATGCCCGAATTGTAATAAAAAGTAACCGATTTGGATTTGTCAGGTCCAATTGGCGTTAGTGCCATTTGGATTCGTGAAAATCCTTGATTTTTTTCAGTTTTTCCGAGGGATGAGTATCGAAGCGAGAAGTTCCTCGATTAATCGCCGACACGCATGCCCTGCGGGCCCCAAGGGGGTCCCCGTTTGATGATCTGTAGTGGGGGTTGAGTAAAAATATGGTGGGGGGGCCTTGAGCTGTCGGAATTCCAGTGACGGTCAAAAAGAAGACTAGGGTGGGGGTAACAAACGTACGAATCGTCCAGGGGTAAACGTCACGCGCGCTATCCCCACTAGGTCTTCGGCGACCTCTCCCCACTCGGTGGCTTTTGGCTACCTCTCGGGGCATTCCAAAGCTCCTCGCTACGCTAGAGCTGAAGCAACACAAATCGTTTGGTCGTCTCGTTGAGTCAGTCGAGCTCTTGCGCGCTAGGCGAGAGGTCGAACCTTCTCCGCGAACTCAAAGTTGGTACAAGCGCCAGTTTAATTCCTCATTTGAGAATTACTCTTGAGAATTAAAATTCGATTCTACAATTTAGAAGTTCAGGTGTGAGCTTTTCTGGATTAAAATTCAACGATTTTTGTGCTGAAGTCACCCATCGCCTGTTGGATTTACTGTGCTAGTGGTGGAAGAAGTGGAATCTATTTGTGGTTATTTTGAGGGAGAATTGATTGATATTGGACAATGGTGACCGGAGTGGGTGCTACGATGCCCTCGGGAGGTGTTTCGGTGGGTTCAACACCACCAGCACCACACGTGCCACAGGAGGCTGGACAGCCGCCTGCGCAAACTAATACTAGTGGAACTACCACTAGGAGATCCGGGGAAAATAGACGGAGTAACAAACCCATTATGGAAAAGAGGAGACGAGCGAGGATTAATAATTGTCTTAATGAACTCAAGACACTAATCCTCGATGCGATGAAAAAAGACGTAAGTATCTATTTCCAATACTTCATTTTACTGTAATAAAAATTGAATTCGAATCAGTTGCGATGCGCCGAGTTCAATTTTTTTTTAAGTTGCGCAGAATTCAATTTTGCCAGAACAATTCAAGACTTCCATTTCACGATTTGTGTCATAGGGTCAAATTGAAAGAAAGAAACCGTTCGCTTCAATCGAATTCTAAATATAAACTGAAAAATAAAAATTCAACTAACGTTTTTATCCTTTTTTATGATTTCAGCCAGCACGACACTCAAAATTGGAAAAAGCCGATATCCTAGAGATGACAGTGAAGCACCTGGAAACCCTTCAGCGTCAACAGGTAGCCCTGGCTGCAGCTACAGATCCATCAGTTCTAAACAAATTCCGTGCGGGTTTTACGGAGTGCGCGAGTGAAGTTGGCAGATTTCCCGGTCTGGACGCCTCCGTGAAACGTCGTCTGATGGCCCACTTGGCATCTTGCCTGGGACCGGTGGAGAGTAACACGAGTTCCCAGTCAACACCACCAGTGGTTCAGCCAGCACCACCGACAACTCAACTCCAAGTCCACATTCTACCGCAAGTGGACACGACACCGCGAATCCAAGTGCAGCAATCCAACGGCATCTTCTTCACGAATGCCAACGGTACTGGCCTGCAACTGGTGCCAACGCGTTTGCCCAACGGTGACATCGCCCTGGTTTTGCCAGCTGGTGCTAAAGCCACTCCAGTGACATCACCAGCTTCATCTCCAGCCCCATCATCACCTCTGCCAACGCTCATTCCCATCCCCCAGAGGACCGCAAGCACAGCCTCAGCTTCATCCTCCTCCTCATCAACGAGTTCTACGTCGACATCGGCTGCAAGTCCTGTCGCCTTCGAAGCACCACCATCAAATTTCCGAGAGCAATCACCAGCATTTACCACCAGTCATCGGGATGTCGCAACATCGCCCGCTAACGGATACACCAGCGATCCGGAATTCGATGCCAGGGCCACCCTCTACAGTCCGCCACTTCAAAAACCCTTGGCTCTGGTCATGAGGAAGAGTGTCATGCCTGAGATCGAGGGCAAACCTTGGAGACCCTGGTAAATCGTTAATATCTCGGTGTAATAAAACTTTGTGTTCTCGAAGAACTAGTGATTCTATTGACTGAAACCGCTAGCCGGTTACGTCTCAAGTCGTTACATTTATTATTTTTTTTTTTCAAGAAAACAACATATTAAAGCTCGGGAAGCGTTTAAGGGTTGTTAGAATTAGTTCTTAGTTTCCGCTGTCAAGATTATTCTTTTCGATGGTCAGTAGCCTATGAGGCTGTGCCTTATACAGTGCCTTGTACATAGTTTCTTTCATTGAGATTAATTTCCATGAGTTTTTTCCGAAAAAGTTCATGATTATGATGAGTTGGTGGATGTAAATAGATGATTTCAAATTATCGTTATGTTTAAGTGCCTTACGCAACAAGAATCACCGATGTCTTCCATTAATTCATTTTTGCGTTTCTTGTAATGTAGATAGATGTTGTATGGACTACGCTGACGAAGTGTTGAATAATGAATATCAATGTGTGTAAAATATTTCGACGAGAGTATTGGGGATTTTTTTTTTTGTATATTATTGTACTAAGTTTAGATTCTATTTACGTTTAAGGATTTATGAATGTTTATCAGATTTGTATGGAAGGTGATATTTTTCCAGAGAAAGAGTGTTCTTATTTATATTTATGAGTGCAAATTGAGATGAAGATTGAGTCTATAAGGTTATTGTGAAGATAATAGAACAAGACGCTTAATAATACTTTATGAGTATCAAAATAAATATTGATCTCTGTTCAAACTTACATAATTTTTCATCATTTGCACTGATCCTTATCATTTCTTTAAATCTAAAGTTTTCGATTCCTGAAATGCATTGGATTCTCCGCCGTTTATTCCACAGAAGTATCTGAAGGACTGATTCAGAAAGGTGCTGCCACCCATCGTCAATCGTTGCAACTTCCAGGGCCCTATCCCCACCCGACGGACCCGAAATAATCGTGGGCCCTAACCAAAGCCCTGCTGCCACCTATCTTCAAACCCCCGAACACGTCCGGACAAAAGGCCGCTTTCTAAGAAAAAGAATTATATCATCGCTTGCGGCAGCTTAATGTGAGAATTGAAAAACAACAAAAAATCATTTTTACACTTCCCCTGGAAATGTACAGCCCTCGTTACCGCGATAACCGATTACAAAGCGTGTGGGTGTTCAAGAACAACAGATAACTGAAGTTATCAATTTTTTTTTCAAGTGAATTTCATATCTCTAACGTCAAAGAACTCAAGAATCGCGTGCACAACACATGACGAGTCATTGCCAAAAGTCCCGCTACAATAAATTCGAATTGGCGAATTAAAAAATATTGCACGTGCGGCCATTATCACGCGTATGACTAATCAATTCAAGGTTTTCCATCACAAGACAGACGATAAGACATAGAACAGATCAATCAATCCTATTGCCCTGGAATGAACAGTTGGACTCAGACTGATTGAGAGATATTAGCGTCGTTCCACGAACGATAAAAACTCGTCTATCATACCAATTTTGATAACTCCATTATCTTGGTATAAGTCTTCGCGTGCAGACAATGTCGAAAGACATTTGAAAATATATTTTAATGCCTCGAAACTGGAGCATGTAAACAGTCTCAGGTGAATGGCTGTGAGTCAAATGAACTCCGATGCATTCAGTCATAATCAGCTGTTTCGTTGAAAAAATTCAATCGCAATTTATGTAGAAATGCATCAAGTATGATTACGGTTTGCGTTGGAAGGGGCTCTTAGTAGCATATAAAAGCGCTCGGGTGGCATACGGTCGCGGTCGCGTGGTTTCAAGGACAAGGCAAGGTTGACACGCGCCACGACTCGCGAGAGAGTTGGTGCAAGTGGGGGGTCCAACACTTGCAACCTCTAGTAACCGTGCTGAGCTGGTAAAATTTTTTTTTCCACAGATCCACAATAATTCATCAATTACCCATTAAAGTACTTGCCGAGTAACTATCCATGTGAAGTATTTCCTAAGACTACCAAATTAGACGTGCCTTTCTCATATTTTTCACTGTCAATCATCATTTCAATTTCTTCAGAATGTTTAATTCTATTATTCAGTCTAGATACTGGCAAAAAATTAATTTACCAATTTTATTTCACTCAAAAATTGCGAGCCAAAGAAACACCTGATGCGTATTAGCACGGTTATACCGCGTTAACCGTGGTGGATTAATTCTCCGTCTAATTAATCCGATCGTTAATAAAAGTCCACTATTGTACTCAGTTACAAAAGAGTTGAGGGGCGAGAGTGTGAGGGAAGAGAGGGCAATGAACCCGGGGGAGTGAGAATACCGCACATTGTCATTGGGCCACTCTTACGGGTAGAGGAAAATAAAAGGAACCCTCGAGTTGTATAAACGAAGGCAGGTGCGATCTATTTGCTCTCCGAGGTTCAGATGGACCTGTCGAGTGTTTTCTAGGGACGCTCAGCGGTCTAGGAAGTGTCCCTTTTCCTCCTTCATCTTCGTGATTCTGTCGATCTCTTCATTTAATTGCCATGCCACAATCAATTACGTCAATTTCCGGAATTATCAACTCTCTAAACTTGTCACTGATTTTTTTTGCTTCGCTAAAAGCTACTGATGCCACTTTATCAAAATGACACGTTTAAACTCCTGAGTCCAAAAATTAGAATTTATGATTCATCGGGTGGCTTGACGCAGTGGGTAAGATAAAAAAACATTTTTTTGCCTCATGTGCGTCAGGTTTCGAGTTCGAGTCCCGGTCTGGTAGATTTTTGAGTTCTAACTATTCAAAGTCCCGATCAATCTTAGTTTTCAGGCAAATTCAGTTCCTAAGAATCGGAGCTAAGAGCTTTGAAAATACAGACTGCACTATTTACGGAAGGTCGGCGCAATGTTGACCTTAAATACACCCTGATCAATCCTTGTATACCTTAACGAGGTCGAGGCGATGTAAAATAACCATAAAAAATATGGGTTTTAACGAATGCAATGCTTCCATTCGGAAGTAAAAATGGAATGTTCAGTTGTATAAAACGGCTCCTACCGCAATGCCAAGGCGTGGGCAAAAGAGTAAAATCTAGAGTCTGGGACGGCCTAGTCGAGTTATTTATGAAGCAACTAGGCACCCCACACATGCATATGAGTACCTCAACTCTTTCCGAGATTGACGCCACGAGTAGGAGATATCCATTTTTATCTGACGATCTTGTTTTTCGTTTTATTCGCGCTCGTTGTCTTTCAGGAAATCATGACACGTGCTCATGAGGTTCGTGTCACGGAGTCAACAATTCAATGCTCCTGTTTATTATGTACTCTTATCCCCTCACCTGGATGGTCTTCTGACCCATTGTGCCGTGAGAAGTTAAATATTTTGAATTCGGTTGTATTGGGGATATGTAAACAGAAATGAATAAGAGGACTGCATGTTGTTTTATTTATTTGTAGATTTCTTTCTTTGCAGATACCTTGTGATAGTATCGTTGAGCAGTCAGAAACGTCTGTTGGTGAAGAGCCCAGGGTATTTATAGAGCACCAGTTTTTTTCCAATACATTTGTCTCGTTTTAATCTCTGGATTTCTCATGCGAATAAATTTGCTTTGAATAATACTCGTTACAACGATAAGCCCACGTTTCCCTCATCCCCTCGGGTGGTTATTTTCCGTCGTGTGAGGATGAGTATTTCACACTTGTCACATATTTTTTTGGTTTTGTTTTCGTCGTTTTGGGGTATTTATGATGAGTTTATCTCGCATCTGCGAGACACCCGAGGGGGTATCGAGAGCAAAACAAAATGACTGAGTGCGTCAATGAGTGTGATAATAATTCATTTGATTTGTGAGTAATGGAGAGAGTCATTATGAGGGGATCATTAATTTCGAACTGAGTGTTCTTATTTTTACAGCGAAATGCATTATGAAATTTTATATTTTCACTTTTACTTGTTCTTTTAACCCGTTAAAAAAAATATCCCTGATGGATTTTTTCCCCGCCACGTTAATATTCTCCATCAAGACCCGACGCCCTCCAACCATGTCACAGATTTCACCTAAAACAATGGCTCTCTCCCTCTTAAACCGTCATTTCCACCCATAATTAAGTCCTAATCACCCAAGAATAATTTTTAAAAGCCTCTGGGACCTCATCGCCTCCCTCATGACTCATTGTTATGCATAGGGACTTGCCTCGAGAATTTTTGTCGACAGTTGGTAATTGATTTCCAACCCAACCGTTTGTATTTACATACGCTAATGGGTGGAGGGCACTTAAGGATTCCAACAGAATTCTCTCCGTCTCATTTCTACCAAAATCGTCCTGATCAGCCCCTGGAAATTAGCCAAATCGATCGATCAATCCATACCCCCCCTATCGCCGCAGTAGTTCAACCAGGAGAGATTGAAAAATTGCCGCGCTGGGGAATGGGAATCCCCCATTCACTGAGTCATTAACGTACAACCTGTCGTGTAAGGGGGTATGGCTTGAGTTTAAATTGCATGGGTGCGAGAAGGTGACACATGCCGTGATTTAAACCCCACGCTATCATGACTGTAATCATCATTTATTTGTCGCTAAAGGGTGAGAAACATTGCGAGGGACTAAATCGCGTTCAGTTATTTTTTGGGTGGTCCGCGGTTTTGTCACTCGTTCGTGTCAACACATTATCTTCAATTCCAATACTTCATTAACTATATGGATTAATTCATGATAATTTTATCAAGATGCGTGACACAAATCATTAGTCCCAGGTGAACAAACAACGAAAAACAGGTAATAGTCGTTTTGTATATTTTATATTGACCAACAGACACTAATCCCAGTTTTACAATTGTGAACAGAATTCAAGTGAAGGCAAATGTCAGACTTGACTGTTCGACATGTAGAAAAAGAAGAAATAAGAATAATATAAGCGTAAGCGATAACATCGGGGACTCGAGTTGATGGTCTTGAAAGAGTATGGGGTTAGCTCCAGTGTCTGTCAATCAACTGATGGGCAAATGCATGGCCATGGGCGAAGAAATGTACGAGGCGTATGTTAGCGGCCCACGAGAATGACAAAAAGGAGGGAATTGAGGTAAAGTTTTCAAGAAGGGAGAAATAAATTCCTTCATTGGGCGACGATGCGGCTTGTATACAACAAAACCCCACCAGGTACCGCTTCTCGGGAACGCGTGGCCGGATCGTGGGACAAACCCAGGGTTTTCGATTCAAGTACCTATAAGGAGAGGACCGAGAAACCTTCCTAAATGTGAATTCTTTAACATTTTTTTTTTCTCTTCATCCTCTCTTCAGTTCTGAAAAGTTGAAATTGCATTCTCCAAAATTAAATTCTTTTTTTACGTCATTACTGTAGTCGTAGTTTTTCATTTCGATGGAAATTGTAATTTTTTTATGGATTTTTTAACCTCTTTTTTTATCTCTTGGTCCTAATGTCTCAAAAATATTTTGAGACCCCCAGACACACCCCGAGCCGACAAAAAACCGGTAAGAATGCAGTAGTTACAAGAGAGGCGCACCTAACCCTTTTATAGAAACCGAATCTGGAGTAGGACTCGATCATTGGACGAGTGGTGTATCAAATATTGGGTCTTGATGCTGAATCCAACCAGCCAGCTGCCACTTCTTTTATATTCCCGAATAATCTCATGACTCGTCTTCTGCTCGATCAATTTTTTCCGTAAGAAACCTAACAGCATGTTCCATTGCACAGAAGATAAATCAAGAACAAATTCCGAGTGAAAAAGAAACGACTCTCGATGCTAATCCCCAAGAATCGTGGGACAATTCGTTAT